TACTGCAAATGCAATATCAGGTCTGGTCTTATTCGATAGATACAAAAGACTACCTATTGCCTCACGATATGGAAAATTCATCTCATTCTCCTTTCTATTGTCATCATCACAATTACTTATCATGGGTGTAGTAGCATGTTTTGCGTTTTTCATACAAAATTTTTCTAAAATGGTTTCTATATAATCTTCTTGATCTAGTTTGATCCAGTTTGTACCTTTTGTGATTCTGATTCCTAGAAATGTATCTACTGTGTGAAATTTCTTCATTTCAAACTTTTCTTCTAAATTTCTTAGCAAAGTATCAATTTCTTCTTCATTTTCTCCTACAATAAGGCCATCATCAACATATATTGCCAGAAACAATGTTCCATTTGCATTTCTGAAAACACACTGTTCAACTTTGGTAGCATGCATTCCTTTTTCTTGCAGATAATTTGTTAAATGTTCATTCCATGTCATGGGTGCCTGTTTGAGTCCATATAATGCCTTTTTGAGCACACATATTTTATTTTCTTGTTGTTCGTAACCTTCTGGTATAGTCATATATATTTTATCATTCAAAGTTCCATATAGAAAAGCTGTCTTTACATCAAACTTTTTAATAATGTATTTATTTTGCACTGAAAGAGCTAATAAAAATCTTAGTGAACTTGTGTTGACCACTGGGCTGAATACCTCTTCATAATCCAAACCTTTTCTTTGCTGGCATCCTCTAACTACTAATCTTGCTTTATATTTACCTTCAGTTTTGATTCTGAAGACCCACCTGTTAGTTAAAATTCTCCTTCCATTTGCCTCCTGTATATCTACATAGTCCCACGTCTCGTTTTTAGCTAAGGACTCTTTCTCATCATCTATAGCTTGTTTCCATTCCTCTCTGTTTTCCCCAGTAACTGCTTCTTCATAGGTTAATAATGAATAGTCCTCATATCTTTTTGGTAAATTTATCTTCCTTCCCCTTCTATCTTCTCGCCCTTGTCCTAAATTCAACATTTCTTCTCGATTTTCTTCCATAAATTCATTTTCTATTTGCTGTTCATTCTCTCCTTCATGGTTTCTTTCATCTATTTCTTGAATTTCATTCAAGTCAGCATCGTTTTCTTCAATTCTCACGTTGATTGTATCTTTTTGATTTTCTTTCTTCAAATTTTCATATTTTGGTTTCTTAAAGATGACATCTCTTTGTATGACAATTTTTTGTTTCTCTTCATCCCATAGTCTGTATCCATTCATAGTATATCCAATAAAAATATACTCCTTACTTCTTTCATCAAATTTTTTTAAGTATCCCAAAACTTTTGCGAATGCTTGACTGCCAAATATTTGCATTTTTGATACATCTGGCTTTCTACCAGTCCAAATTTCACTTGGTGTCTTAATCGGCTGTGATTCTGTTGGAATTCTATTCAAAATATATGCAGAAACTCTGATGGCTTCACCCCAGAATTCTTTAGATAAGTTTGAATCGAACATCAGAGATCTAGCTTTGTCTAATAAGGTTCGATTAAGCCTTTCTGCTTTACCATTTAACTGTGGACTGTGAGGTACAGTTGTATCTAAGACTATACCCTTTTTCTTGTACCATATCTTCATTTCATTATTCACGAACTCCATACCATTGTCACATCTTAGTTTTGACACTTTCAGATTTTTATAGGCTTCCATTTCTTCTATGTAGTCTCTCAGATATTCTTGTGCTTCATTTTTTCTTCTCAATAAGTATACTGCTACAAAATGTGTGTAATCATCTAACACAGTTAAAAAATAGCTCTTTCCGTCCCAGGTTGCTGGATCTATGGGACCAGCTATATCTGTGTGTATGATTTCAAGTGGTCTGGAAGCTCGATTCCTTTGACTATCAAAAGGAAATCTCACTTGCTTTGCTTTCAGGCATATTTCACAGGGTGTTTCAAAACAATCGCAATCCTTTTTATTTATATTTAAACCTGTCACCATTTCATTGTCTATCATTTTCTTCAGACTTTTCATATTCAGATGTCCCAATTTTCTATGCCAATCTTCAACTTTCTCCTTTGTACATACTGTAAGTAGACTTTCTTTTATATTTTCAGCATGTTTCATAAGATTCAACACATAAAGCCCATTTTCTCTTTTACCTTCCAGAACTGTCTGATTATTTTTCGTTACATAAACCTTATCTTTTTCAAATGTAACCTTTCCATTATTTTCTGTTATAGCACTGACAGATAACAAATTCTTTCTCAAATTTGGCACATATAAAACGTCTTTTAAAGAACAGAAATCTCCTTCCACTGTTCCTTTACCCTCAGCTTTTATAACTGAATTTTTTTCAGCTACACAAATGTCAGAACTTTCATGCTCCAAGTCACTGAATAGCTCAAGATCATTGACCATATGAGAAGTTGAACCAGAATCAATCACAAATACATTTTCATCAATGTCTTTAGTCTCTTCGATCAAAAAAGTTATTTTTCTCTCATCTGATTTTGGTTTGTTTGGTTCTCCTTGTCGGTTTCTGAAATAGCAGTTGTTCTCAAAATGATTTGATTTTTTACAAATTCTGCACATCATTGTATTAGAAACTGTTTCTCTGTTATTTTCACTTTTTCTTATTCTGCAATCTCTTGTTAAATGTCCAATTTTGCCACAATTAAAACATTTTATTTCTCTTGTATTTCCTTTTATTTGTCCTCTACAGAAACGCCCAATATGTCCAGGTTTCATGCACTTGTAACATACTTTTTCAGATGTGTTGAAAACTACTGATGAACTGCTTTCCTTTGCTATATACATGTTCTCTTCTGCGATCAGTCTTGATGTTAAATTGGTCAAAGTACGCTCCTTATGTGATGTGGACTCCCAAGCTGTACGAAAATGCTTGTAAGATTCCGGCAATGTACTCAAAATTTTTGATATTAACATTTCATCGTCTATCTCCTGGTTCAAAGCTTTCAGTCTGTAAGCCAAATTCTCAAGTTTGCTAATGTGTAAGGATAAATCACTTCCTTTTTCGTAAGTGAAATTGAAAAACTCTTGTAATAGGGCACATTTTTGACGTTCATTGTCTTTCTTGTAAATTGCACATAACTTTTCATACATTTTTGCTGCACTATCACAATTCATGATGTGAAAAAGGACTTTTTTTATAACAGTAGTTGTTAATATTTTCTGTGCCTTGGCATCCTTCTTCTTCCAAAGCTGTTTTTCCTCTTCTCTTGTCAAGTCCTCCAGTTTTTGTTCACCAGTAACAACTTCATGTAACCCATTCGCTTTTAATAGGACAACTACTTGAAAATTCCAAACTTGAAAGGATTCTACACCATCCAATTTTTCAATCTGTCCGATTTCCTCTGCTGTCTCCATCTCGTTTTTACTTTTTATATTTTTTTACCTCAAAAAAGTTGTTATTTTATTTCAGAGTATCCTGGGCCCGTAACCTGTTCAGGATTATGATTTTATATTATTTTATATGGTTTTATTTTATGTTTCTTGAATGAATTGAAGCTATTTCATTAAATATTTTTATTCAGAACCTTCAATACATCAATCTGAAGTTCAACAACTTATACCATGACTACTACAACAAAACGTACTGTGATCCAACATCTACCACCTTGATGATCTTGATGACATATTTCATGACACTGACATCTTGACAAACTCACACATTCATTCATTCATTCATTCACAGGATGTTTTTCATAAATATTATTCTCAACATCCCATGCCATGTTGAATGCGTTTTTGAGGTCTAACGCTATCACTATTATGTGGTTGCCTTTCTCCTTTTCGGTCTTGATATATTTGATCAGCTTATCAACTGCTCCAATCGTACTTCTGCCTACACGGAATCCATATTGGTTTTCCGACCAGTGTCCACCTGTCTCCATGTGGTATTGGAGTCTTCTATTTATAATTCTATCCAGTAATTTGCCTAGATTGGGCAAAAGGCTTATCGGTCTCGGAGTTCCGTCCTTTTTCGGTATCCATATTATAGTGTCTTTTTTCCATATTTCTGGGAATATTCCTAGCTCTACGCAGTTGTTGTATAGATCGACCAATTCTTTCATCAATTCGTTTACTGTTATTTTTAAAGCTTCTACCGGTATCCCATCCTCCGCACATGCTTTCCCGGTCTTGAATTCCTCTAGCGCATTGCGTATTTCTACATCGCTTATTTTAATTGAAGCTTTATGCCTCACTCTGGTTATCAAGTCCTCGTTTGCTACCTCTTCAATGTCGGCTGGGAAATATTTCCTCAGTAGTTCCGTGTTTCTTTCGTCTTCGTTGATCGTAAATGATCCGTCGTCTCTCTTGATATCTATATCCCCATGTATCATTTTGTTTTTGCCTAATAGTCTCCAAATTCCCTCTTTTCCGCCTTCTTATGCTCGATTCTATGGTAAATTCTATATATCTGTGGTCACTCAGAGTCTCGTCAGCTTGTACCTTCCAGTGTTTTACTCTGATGTTCCGCGACATTGTCACGTCGATCCAACTTTCCCCCCTTGTACTGGAGTATGTCGCTAAGCTTGAACTCATATTTTCTATTACATAGCCATGCTGTATTGCGTCCTCTAGCAGGTATTCACCTCTTCTGTCCTCTAAGTTCCCCCCCACCATGCTTGGTTTTTGGCATTAAAATCGCCTGCTATTATTATACCTTTACTTTCGTTGTTCACTTTTCTGAGTACTGTGCTGATCTTGTTGTAAAACTCACTGGTCGGCTCCTCATATATGCTAATAATTGTGACTTCCCTGTCCTCGCCAATCGTAATTCCCACGCTATTGCTGTCAGTTAATGCCTCTTTTTGTGGTGCTCTGATTTCTGCCTCGACCCATATTTCGGCTTTGCTTTTGCTGCTGCCATACCTTTTGAATCCCTTCCATGTGTTCATCTTGTTAAATGGTTCTTGGATCATTATTATGTCGAGCCCTAGTTGTACAGCTCTTTTTTTAAGCAGCTCTGTTGCCTCTGTCTCTTCCAACATTGATTTGTATAACTTTTAGGTCCATTATTAATCGTAATTAATTTGTCCCCTGAGCTGCTCAACTTTTTTTAGGAACATAGGGCACTTCTTGTCCCTCGCTGCATGTTGTCTTTCATTCATGTCAGATCTTTTACAGTTAATACAGTCTAGGGGTCTTGATTCTTCACATCCTCTGCTGTCGTGGCCTTCCTCCCCACACTTCATGCATACCGGTCTTTCTTTGCAATTTTTACCACTATGTCCATAACGGCAACAATTGTAACACATTTGTGGTTCAATCCTTTCTTCTACGTGTAGCATCATCAGGTCAAAGTTTATTTTACCTTTTTTCACCATTATCTTGAATGGCTTTGCATTCAGCTCTATTGCAATGTTTTGTTTGGCTTCGTCTCTGCATTCCCTTCTGTGGATGACCTTTATACTATCAATGTCTTCTTTCGTACATTCAGTTAAGATGTCTGCATTTTGTCCACTCAGCTCATTGACGAATTCCTCATCATTGTACCCAGCCGTTACCCTAGTTATCCATAGTTGTGGCTTTCTGTTCCCCGTTTCTTTCAATCTTAATTCGCTGTTACTGTTCAATATGCTTTTAATCTTTGAGTTCTGTTCCTCTGATCTTGTTTCTAGTATGACTTCTCCATTCCTTGTTTTTCTAACATTCTTCAATCCTTCTTTCCCTATATCGTTGCTATTGAGTGCTTTTTTTATTTCATTTAGTACTTTTTCCCCATCTTTTTCGGTTCCCATGTTCACTATTATTTCTTTCCGCCTTTTCCTAATTGGCGTTGTCCATTCCCCGTTTTTCTCCGTATCTTCTTTGTCAGTTTCTCTATTTTCCTGCACAGTTGTCGCGTATGTTTTGACGGGTGCTTTTTTGGTTCTGTCTTTCGTTACTTCATTCGCGTTTTTATGCTCATTCGTCCCTTGGATTGAATCCTTTCTTTTCTCTCTCTCTTTTTCACCGCCTTCCATACACATGTTTCTTATCTCTCTTATTTCCGCTCTCATTGCATTCATCTCACTCACTACTAGATCATTGCCTACCTTTTGATCCATTCCTCTTTCCTCATTCATCGCAATCTCCTTCCACTTGTCCGCCCTTTGCTTTTGTTTTTCGCACTCTATGGAAGCCTGTCCCCAGTAATATATTATTTCTACTAGGCTTCGATGTAGCCTGATTAAATATTCACTTACAGTTTCTTGTTCCGTTTTATGGAACTGCACCTTGTCACCCGATTTTTTTGTGGTGGCTTTCCTTATTTCCCTAACTGAGTTCACAATATCTCTCATCAGCTCATTTGCTGTGCTTAAATCCTGTCGTGCACCGATTGCGTCTTCGATTTCTTTCGCCTCTTGCTTCAGCTGCTCGAGTCGTTTGACTTTGCTGATTATACTTGGCTCTTCGTTGTCCTCAGTTTGACTAGCCTCACTATCGCTAATGCTGTCAGCTTTGGTGGTATTATTGGTCATTACTGCTTTCTTATTGTTCCTATAGTTGCCGTCTTCCGGAGGGCTCCTCTTGTGCCTTTTTTTCGACTTCAGTGCCCCCTCTCTGGCTTCACATTCACTCTCTTTGGCGCTCTCCTTCGCGCTTTGCGTCGGAGATCTAGCTAGTGTCCTTCTTGGTCTAAACAGTACTTCTTCATTTTCATTAGATTCTGTGTTCTCCTTATTCTCAACGTTCAGATTATCATTAATTATTATTATAGATTCACTCATAGTTGGTTAGGTTAGGTAGGGACAGATGTCTTGAAGTTTTGACGTGCCTTTCCTAGCTCCTATCCAAGCTCTACTAGTTCTGCAGACTAGCGCCCGAGCTGTAACGCAGCTCACCCGTCGTACCACAAGTGATACTAGCCAGCATATGGGTTCAACCACTGCCCCCCAGAGTCCAACCCTTACGGTCGCACATGACTCAAAGCAGAGCAATTTCTCGCTCACGCTTAGGTCATGGGGCTTTGACGACCCCCTGGGTACCGAATAAATGCAAGGCATCGGTTCCGCCTCTTCACAAGTGCCTTCTGGGTTATTCTCAACCAGATCAGTCCTTGCTACAATTTTAGGGAGAATACGTCCCAGACCTTGCTATGGTCAGCTCGGGTGCGTGGGACCGCCAGTCCCAAAACATCTACTACCCCTTCGCATGTATCTTCCCTCATACTCATGAGGTACTACTACTTGCGAAGGGTACCTTCAATGTTCCCTGCGCCTCGACCCGGCCTAAGCCGGGTCGTAACTCCAACGCTTTCATCCATTTCCTTTCGTTCTTTATAAATTACTTGCACTCTGGTTGCGAGAACACCGAACTATTGCAGCAATTAGCAGTGCTTTCGGGTACACTCAAATATACATCTGGACCGTCCCTACTCCTACCATGCTCTCTTGCTGCCTTCGTTCATCTCTCGCAACCTCTTTCATACTACTTTGTAAAAATATATCTCTTTAATATAAATAAACTCTATTTCCTCCATTTCATTACCTTTACATCATCTCTTTTCTCCGTTTGAATAATTTAATGGCGAAGTCGTTCATTTCTCTAAAAGAGTGTTCATATTGACACACATCTTCATAATTCCATCTGTTTACTCCTGTTTGAATTATTTCCATTCTATCTAGATTCCTCAAATCATTATATAACCTGCAATCTACTAATACATGTTCTACTGTTTCAATTTCATCTCCGCATAAACACCTATCATTTTCCGCTAAGCTTCTTTGATATAAAATGCTTTCAAACTTCCATGACCTGTGATTAAGAAGTTGGCTTCTAAACTAGGTTCGAACCACTTCCATTCTCTAACATTCCTTACATCCGCTATAAATTTAAACGTAATTCTCCCAACCTCATCTCTCGTCCATTCATTTTGCCATTCATTATATGCTATCTCATCAATATACGCCTTCCGTGCTTTTTCGTTTAACTCTATCCATTCTTGCCTTCTATTTATCATTTCTTGTTCAATCCGCATATTTCCCAATTCTATCCCTCTCTTTATTCTTTATATAATACCTCTTTTAATTACCTCATATCTCCAAGGGAGTACACCTAAAATTGCTTCCATTGCATGTGTAGATACTGTTCTACACACTCTTATACTTGCATACAATCCTATTCTTTCCGCTTGATCAACTGCCTTTTTGATCTTAACTTTTTTCAATTCATCATACCATATTGCTGCTCCATATAATGCACATGAAGTCAGCAAACCCTTATATAATATTATAACCGCCTTTTTTCTTAATCCCCATTCTTTCCGCATAATTCTTCCAATTTTTCCTACAATTGCTCCTACTTTCTTATATACTTCTCTCAAATGTGGAACAAAATCCATAATTTTACCAATTGTTATACCCAAATATTTTACCTCTTCGACTATTCTTATTCTATATTCGTCTATCTGTATACTTGGATTCCTATTTAATTTCCCTTTCAAAAACATTGCAACCGTTTTCGTATTTGATATTTCAACTCCTGATATTCTTTTCCAGTTCTTGACTGTTGTCGTCCACCGGGTTGCTTTCCGCTCTAATAAATTTCTACTATTTCCTTTAACCATAATTAATAAATCATCCGCATATGCTATTACTGAGCATCCGTCGTCATCCAAATCGTTCAACAAATCATCCATCACCATGTTCCACATAAAAGGTCCGCAAATGGACCCTTGTGGACATCCTCTATTTATGTTTCTCTCTACTTTACCACTTTCTCCCCTTACTATTAGCTTCCTATTTTCAAAATAAGAATTCCATATTTTCTCTTCTAAGCAATTATTTGCTCTCAATCTCTCCCTGACGACATTCCATTCCAGATTATCGAATGCACCCTTAAAATCTACAAAAATTCCGAATATATATTTTTCATTACTTTCGCTTATAATTGCTTGCATTTTCTCCCATGCATCTTCTACCGACTTCTTTTTTCTAAAACCATATTGTACCGCACTTTTCCTAAGTAATCTATCTTCCATTCTTTTAACTAACAATTTTTCTAAACATTTACCAAGACCACTGAGCAAATTAATTGCTCTATATGATCTTGGATCCGTTTTAACCTTATCAACACCTTTCAATAATACAACTATGTCTCCTATTTTCCACTTTTCTGGGAAGTTACCATTACGTAGGCAACTACCCAAAAAAATTTTCATGTACTCCGGTATTGCTATCCACATTCTCTTTATCATCTCATGTTTAATACCATCTAACCCTGGTGCTTTTCCGCTTTTTAAACTTCCAATTACTTCCTCAATTTCCTCTCTACTAAATTCATCAAACTCATTATTTTCCGCTACCTCTATATTATCGTTTGGTCTTCCCGGGGGAAACCATTCATCAAGAAGCGCATTAACAGCTTCTACCCAATTCTCGCTCATTCTTTCACCTACTTTTATTGCGCTTATTCCATCATTATTTCTTTTACCCATACAAATCTTGTATGCCTTACTCCATGGATCATTATTTCCATCTATTCTCACATATTCTTCCCAGTTCTTCCTTTTTGCATTTTTTATTGCATTTTTATATTCGCCGCATTTGCGTCTATATTCTTCCTCTCTTATATCATTATTAATTCCTGTCTTTCTGCTAACTTGTACGCTTCTCCTAATTCTTCTAAGTTCTTTCCTCATATTATTCAATTCTTCATTCCACCATTTAATTTTCTTATCCACTTTTACTTTTCTTAAACATTCTCTATTTCCATATACCGACCTATTCCGCAAATTTCCGCTTTAGCCTCTAATATTACTATATACTGCTCCCATTTTATATTCTTAACCGACCATTTTATTTCGCTATACTCATTATTTCCTTGATTATCTTGCCAAAGATCTACCTCAAAATCAATCTCTATCTCGATCATATTATGATCGCTTATACCTACTTCGTTTCTCAAATTCCATACTATTTGATGATTCCACCTATTATTTATTATAGTAACATCAATGTCGCTCTCTCCCATAGGCCCACTATACGTATATTCCTCCGCATTTTCATTGATTGCTATCAAATCGTTTTCTAGCATCATTTCACCTAACACCTCACCTCGTCTACTTCTTTCATCATTCCTTATATTTTTACTTAGCCACAAGGGAGAGACCGCATTTGCATCCATTCCTATTATCATAGGTTTTTCTAGCATATTTCCTAACATATCAGTTATATTTCCTTTAATTATTTCTATATCCTCCCCAAATTGGCAATATATCGATGCCATACTTATTTCATATCTATCTATCTTTATTGTTGCACATGCTATATACTTATTCATCAACTCAATTCGTCCTATACTTTCAATATTCTTATCCTCAATTATTATTGCCGCTTTACCTTCCTTCTTCATTATTACTTTCATATCACCTGGTAACCCGCCTATAACACCTTTTCTTATATATGGCTCTTGAACCATCGCCATCGATATATTGCCTTGCCGCATTATTAACCCTAATTCGCACATAACCGTGTATTACCTTTGAAAATTCAACTGTATAACTTTTATCTTTCTAGACATTATATGTCTCTCTATTCCTCAAAAACTCGGCCTTCCGAATATACTCTGGACAACTTACGGAGTCCGTCGGGTGCGCCTCGTCTTTCTTTGTTCTCTCATAACAGGACTTACAACTAGGCCTGTTCCTACAATCTTTCGCTTCATGCGAACTATCTCCACATCTTCTACATACGTACTTTCTTTCGCGGCATTGTTCCGCTCTGTGATGTACGCTACAACATTTATAACACCGCTTTACAAGTTCCATCTCTTTTATCTTACATGACCGCCAACCAATATACACATACCCTTTTTGAAGCCATTTCTGGCTTACTTCCTCCGTCACCTTTATAACCACATTACTCAAATCATTCCTCATAACTCTCTTTTCTATTTTTACGTCCCGCGCAAATTCCTCCACCGATATATTATTTATATCGTTTTTATTAAAAAGATCTTCAACAATTTCCTCATCCTTTACCGCCTTTGGTACATCTAAGATGACCAATTTCGGCTTCATTTTCACCGCCTCCGCAACTTTCAAACCTCTTTCTCGAACCACCTTCTTTTTAATATTTTCCGCATCTTCTACTGTCGCCGCCTCTATCACTACTCCATCGCTAATTTTCCTAATCGTTCTCACTTTAACCTCCTTTAGGTCTTTACTCATATACTCGACCTTTTTTAAAATGTCCTCCGCGTTTTTCTCCGCCATCTCCTCTCACCGCAACCGCAAACGTTTTAATCGCCGCTTTTGCTGGCTGTACCAATTTTTGCGCCATGGTTACTTGTGGACTAGTCACATTAACCTGTCTAGGCGCCTGTCCTAATGTTGCAATGAGTGACCTGCACTCATCCACCCTACTCCTAGCCTCCGCCCTCTCCGCTATCAGCTTTATAATTATCCCCTCATATACCGCCATTTTATCCAAAATAACCGCTGACGCCGCCTTTGAAATTTTATTTGAATCATCAAGAAGAAACCTCTTCAATTCCCTACCTACATCTACCATCGCATCCGCTCTCTGTTCAATTTCATCGCTTATGTTTATGTTTGTGTTTGTTTGTTCATCCATCATATTTCCCACGAGTACTTGGCACATATCGGTCCATGTCGTTTTGCCATTCGACATAAGGCTAATACTACTGGAGGCGCCATATTCCAGAAGTTCGAGCATCTAGTGGTAGACCCTACTCCGCTACCGTGGAATGACGCTTGGCGACGCCCGCAACCCTACCTCAGGAGAATTTTTATAGTTGTGATTTCAACTTAGGACGGCTGATTAAAGCAATCCTGCCGGCCTGGATAGCGTCGGCTACCGCAATCCGGTATCACAGGGGCCTATCCCCGCAACACCACACTGCGGGTCGTTGTCTCGAGGTCTTAGAGTTCGCTATGCTCTTCGCTGTCCATTCCTGTTCAACGCCTCCCAAGTTGAATAATTTTATAGCGATATTCCTTCGCTTGGACTCAGATCTTGTTTACGCATCATATCAATAGAAGTGATTTGCCACAAGTTTCTGAATCCGCCGGCTTCTCTATCGAGAAGTTACGTATGACAGGTTGGATGAGCTCCCTCCTGCTGAGCTCATCCTTCCTCCTCGCATCCTCGCATTTTAAACTTAAGCCATTGCCATACCCACTCTTTCTTAACTCTTCCTCGGTTGGCAGAGCACAACTCACTCTCCATTCAAACCACGAAAAAAAAAGGCGGACCGGCTGGCGGGCAGACCACATTGGTCCGCCACGCCCACCGGCCCGCAATTCATCGATAAGAAATTAGAGCGCAAAACTCCGCATTTCTATACAATCACTTTCTTCCACCGAGGTCTTTTGATTGATTCTGCCCTTCGTCTCCTCCGGCCCAATCCATTCGGGTCCCTTCATTCTCCTCCTCTTCGAACACCACCATCCCATTGCTTTATGAAGTATATCCCGAGATCCCGTCAAGCGGTACTCTCGGTCAACTCCAGCCATGGTCGGTCATCGATCGATTAAGAGATAGGAGGTGATCACTTGGTACACGGTTTGGCAATCCGACGGGTACGAGCAATTATCACGCGGAGTACTCATGAATCAGAGGGGAGACCACATCTGAATCCTATCATCAGGCGTCACCCTCATCATCAGATCCCTCTACGCGCCCCCCGACCCTATCTGTCTCATGTTACACCTACCTTTTGATCACTCTTCAGGGATCTCCTAATGGTGTGCCTTATCGACTTAGGGCATATTATCAACTTTACTTCATCTCTTTCTTTGACTTATTCCTTTTGCCATTTGGAATCTACATCAGCTCTAGGGGCTTAGTTATGCAGCCGACTTCACTGCCTAGCACTTATCGCTTTCTCCTAAGAGACCGCTGCGCTGCAGTATCGTCAACTACCTATTCCCCCGCTGATTCAACTCCTGGCCTTTTCTGGGATTTCATCTTATTTATATAGCGGCACTTCTCCGCTTGATCATACGGTACACGGTTTGGGAATCCGCAGGATGGACTATTACCAAACTGGTTCCGTAATCACGTCGTTCCTACTTACTCGTTTAACAGCAAGCTGCTACGTGCATCGCAGGTTTACGACTCCATGACTGACAGACTCCTACTGCCCCTACCCCCATAAGCCATGCCGCATGGAAAGCACGGCTGACTATCATTAGCTAGTTAATGGCCCTTAGTGAACTAAGGACCGTCAACTACCCAGTGGCTACTACGAGGAAGTTGATAGTCGTGAGCTTTCTCGATATCCATCTGCCTCGACGGACCTGGCCTCAGACATTTGGCATCCAATTAAGGCATCCACCTGTCCTTAGCCGAGGTTTGTTCTCAGATTATCTTCAGCTTGGTAGTAAGGATATCACCTGTGAAGCATGTCCTGTAGAGGGGGACATTCAACTCAGGTGTGTATCCCAACTACCGCCACCGTTAGGTAGGGACAGTGGGAATCTCGTTAATCCATTCATGCGCGTCACTAATTAGATGAAGAGGCATTTGGCTATTTCTGCTTGGATATTATTTCATCCAAGGACTTTCCTATTTGTACCGCGGTCGGTTGTTCACATGAAAATCATTGGGAGTGTAGGCTCACGATACCATACTGGGAAACTCCCCGGTATCTTTTTGCCTTACACTTCTCGCACCACACTATCTAGCACTCTTGGTCGGAGTAGAAACCAGTGGCCTGCCAAGACCCAGTTTACAGCAGGAAGAAATTAGTCAAAACGGGTCCTATTGCTAGTTGCGAATGTCCTGCTCGTTGACAGGCCAATTGATTCTGGCAGCGTGGGCTAAGCGCTTGAGACGTACTTCCAGCTTAGTCCCAGCTGCCAGAGCTATTTTATACATGTAGTGCGGGACTAGGTAAGTGGTGATTAAGTCTACCTTCTGGTGTGGCTTCAATCTCAGTCGTCTGACTCGACTGAGTGTTGCTGCAAGGTCGGCTCTCAATCCCTCCAGTGATATCCCGTGCCATGGTGATATCTTCACACCGAGGTAGACATGGTGGTCGCCAGGCCCCATAACTGGCACCCCTTCACCACTATCGAATGCGAGCCCTGGGTCAGCTAAGAACCAGGAGTCTCTTGTTTTGCAAATTTGGAACGTAGCGCACTTGATGGGCGATAGGCTCATTCCCAGTGCCTCCAAGTACGCTTCCGTTTTTCTTAGCTGTTCCCTGGCCTGTGGTACATTTTTCGCGATGAGCATCATGTCATCAGCGAAGGCCAGGCAGGAAATGTTTGTTTCCCTGTTGATGTCATACCCAGGACTGCTTTCCAGCGCCTCAATCAATGGTTCTAGAGCCGCATTGAACAGAAAAGGGCTCATGGGGTCACCTTGCTTGACCCCGCGCTGGAGGCGTATATCGACCGACGCCTCTTTCCCACTTATAGTGGTATCCACATCCTGGTACGCATCTTCCACAATCCGCACCACTGGATTGTTCCCCACGACACTTGCCTGCATGCACGGCAGCCGCCTGCTTTCTGCCGTGCACGCGTCTGCAATATCTGCAGACATAGTCCACCTTCACGTTTGGGTGCTCTTTCTTGAGGTGGACTTTAACTCCGCCAAGCGAAAGCATTATGAAATTCCTGTCAGTGTGCTGGAGACACCGCTGACAGGAGAAAGCTTCAAAAGGCACCCTTATCTCATAGACCGAGTCCATCGCATGTTCGCCATCATTGGCCCCCAATAGTAATGGGGCAGGAGGGGGGCCGTCCTCTGCCCCATCCGAGGCATCGCCGTCTGAGTTGTTAGCAAGTTTTATATCCCACCATGGGCTTGCTAGGCCCATGGCAGGCTTTCCACTGCTCTTGCCATAAGAGCTTTAACCCCACGCGTCCGGGGTCAGGCGCGTGAGGTTGTTACCAGTCAGTTTCCCATCGCAGCTGCAGCACTGCGACTAGTGATGGGGTTATCCAGCGGTACCAACGTGGAGGTCGGTAGCATAGACATCCGCACTTGCGACCAGCCTTGACTGTTCGTAAGGGCGGCTGCCGAGTAACACGAGAGCACCGCACTTAAAACAACAAGTGTTTTGGAAAGTGCAGTGCTCGCGCTTGGTGAAAGATTAGGGGTCATCTCACGGCCCTAAGCCGCAAGGCGACCCCTTTTAGCAAACACTCCAGCGCGTAGTGCGTTCAATCTCTTAAGAGAGTCATAGTTACTCCCGCCACTAATTAGATGACGAGGCATTTGGCTATCAGAACGGTGCACATTCAGACTCAACTCAAGATTCCACATTAATGGGCCCAGCGGGCGATGTTGGTCAGCGCTTGTCATCATCTAGTATGGACGACGAGATTCCCCCTGGCCACACCCAGTGTCCAGCGGCAACCACCCCGCCCGCACCACAGTAGGATGGTAACAACAACAAGTTTCATCTGAAGGAAGGCGAGGATGGCGCGAGGTCCGCCAGAGTGGCTCGCCTCGTTACTACTGAAGTGATAGGAGCTGCATCGCAAGCGCTTATGCCTCCAAGTCCGATGTATGGTCTGTCCCAGTTCGCGGTGCCCCTAAAACGAGGGCTAGGTCATACCATTCCATCGAACCCAGTTGAGGTAGGAGCCTTTCAGGGCCATGATAGGAATCCGTCGAAGAGTTCGCCGGTCCACACCAAGGTCCTCGAGACTACGCATGCTATCACTGCCCAAGACCCCACGCCACGAGACGGTGACCGTCGCATACACAACGCTGTCTGCCGCAACTCTGGCCGCCGCCCCGTCCCGGCCAGCTCGGCGCTCAGCGATGATAATGCCAGTGAGTCCGGCTTCGTCTCGGTACTTGGCCACCTTATTCGAGTGAGCCCTATTAAGTGTATCGCCAGAGACTACCTGCGCATCGACGATAGCAACCTTGTTCCCCCGCACAGCAGTGATGTCAGGTTTCCTGGGCCCTACTGGCGTGTGGTACACTCTCTCGTAGTGTACCGTCCATCCCTTCTCTATTAGCGAGTTACCGACCGCCTTCACTATGCATTCGTGCCTGAGGATCCAGCACCGCTGAATCATGTGTCCCGCGGTCTCAGTTGCCTGACAACCCGCACGACACATGACATCACGGCCCCCTCGTCGCCCTCGTGTGACCCTCATACGACTGCATAGTGAGTTCGCACGGACCCAGCTATAGTGCACGAAGTCGCCCCCTCGCATGAAGGGACTCGGTCGGCGGACCCAATCCGTACTCACACCGCTTTCGGCAATGTGAGACAGGTCAGCTCCGTCCACCGCATCGTGCCATAGCCGTGCCCAGTACGCTTTAAGGCTGTCCGCACTCTCGGGTCTTGGCACGTTTGCCAGGCGAGCACGACACCATCTGATTTGACAATCAACCATTGCCCCGCATGCACAGGCGACTACGTGGGCTACGGAGGACGCACGTAAACGCAGTAACCTCCGTAGTCTAAGATGCGGGATGAACTCCGCCAGTCTTGGAACACCCAGTCCACCATCCTTCACCGCTGCGTGGAAGAACCCGATCGCCACATCTTTAGGCAGGTAGAGCCACTTCCTGACTGCGGCCCGAATTGTCACGTCCAGTCGCTTAAAGTAATGGGCCGTAACTTTTCCCAAGACCCATGTATGCATTTGTCTTGGGATCAGGTACGTCCTTAAGATATGTAGCCGTTGTTGTGGCTTTAATGGCGCTTTACCTAGACGTTCCAACTCGTTCCCCAGCGAGACAGTGGCCCCGGCTACTCTCGTGCCGATAAACTTAATACCCAAGTATTTCCATAGGTCCAGAATGCCAACCTGAGGAACCGCCACTCCTCCTAGGCGGAAGAGCGGTGCCTCCACAATCTTGACCTTCTTGTCCCTACCTGAAGCCACCTGGGAAAGGACTTTACACTTGATCGGGTTAAGCCTGAGACCGAAACGTCCCAACTCACTGTCAATACACCGCAGATTGCTCTGCATGCCAACACGGGACGTCGAACACAGCACGACATCATCCGCAAAGGCCAGCCAGGAGATGCGCTCCGTGCCAATGGCGAACCCAACGTCTCGATTTAATGCCTTAAGGGCCTGATCCATAACGAGACTGAACAAGACAGGAGAGAGCGGGTCGCCCTGCCGAACCCCACGGGCCGGTCGCACAGCCTCTTCAACAGACCCTCCATGTGGTAACGTGAGAGACGTATACCCGTTGCGGTATACGTCTCGTTATGTACACCAACATTTCCTCCGGGAACCCGGCCTGGCGACAAGCATCGAACAGTCCCTCATGTGAGACGGTATCGAACGCCTTAGACACGTCTAAGGACGCAAGATGAACCGTCTTCAACGAACTTCGGGATTCCCGCATGACGGTCTCTAGTACACACAGGTTCTCTGCGATACCATCGATCTTCGTGCGGAAAGCCCTCTGCTCGTCAGAAAGAAGGTTCTTAGCCTGTCCAAGCCGATGTTCCAAGATTCTATGCAGGTGCCTGACCACAACAGATGATATAGAAAGGGGTCTGTAGTCGGATGGCTGTGCACGCTCTCCCTCCCCAATATCCTTAGGAAGGAAGATCGTCCTCGACCGATGGAGCTCGTCAGGGAGCCCCCCTCTCGCCATAATGGAGTTGAACAGGATGGCAATTATCGGTGCTGGAACTTTGTTCCAGTCCCTAGGCTGGATTCCGTCCGGTCCAGGAGCTTTGCAACGTCCAACAAATCCCCTAGTGACTTCTTCAGAAGTCACTGGTGACCAGAGCTCACTTCTGTTTCTGGGGAGAGCCTCACCATCTGGAGCCACGTATTCTTGGCTAGGTGTCTCAAGGAGACCACGCCAGTACTGGTGGGTCGCCGGGTGCTGCTAGGACGGAGGGGGTCGCTGGGCCCCCTAAGGATAGCGCTCGCCTCACCTTTCCCTTCCGAGTTGCTGGCCAGAGGGGGCAGGTCACAACCGGTTCCTGCCACTGGCGCCCGCCCGGGTCACCAGCTGGCTCCCTGCTACCTGTTAGTTACTGCTCATATGACCGTACAGTCTTCGAGCAGTATCCAGCGGCGCCATCGTGGAGGCCGGTAGCATCGCACGCACCACATCATCCCAGGACAATGCGGCCCGTGGAGCAGCCATGACATCCCTTATCTTCGCACCACCCATGCACCAAGTGATGCGGCCTACCACAGACTCATATGGTTAACATTCTGTGGCAGGCGTTTTGTGTTCGAAGCTCACTTTCCATAGTGAGCTAAATAAAAATAAGAGAGTCATAGTTACTCCCGCCGTTTACCCGCGCTTGCTTGAATTTCTTCACGTTGACATTCAGAGCACTGGGCAGAAATCATATTGCGTCATCACCCGCTGGGGCCATCGCAATGCTTTGTTTTAATTAGACAGTCGGATTCCCGCGGTCCGTGCCAGTTCTGAGCTGACCGTTGAATGGCGGCCGAAGAGGACACCCGGACGTCCTTGCGAGCGAACCGGGGCCTCGCAGCAAGACGGTTCCGCGGGAGGCCAAGGCACGGGATCGAACTCGTATCCACGCCGCCGCCGTGAAGCGACAGCGCTTCACCTCGCACAGGCCCGGCACGTCAGCCGCGACCCGCTTCCTCGCCAAGCCCGACACGCCCCGATCCACAGAGCCAATCCTTATCACAATTCACGTCTTCTCACCCATAATACCCTTTACTCGATCCAGATATGTGATCTTCAGACGATCTATCGTTTTGAGCAGGGCAAAGTGCTTCATAAAGTGCTAGACAAATGTGCGGAATTACATGAGATCCGATAACTGATACTTTTATGCAGGAAAATTAGCCGAAGTTAACTTGAAAATAAATGCCCCGTTTCGGAAAGTCAATTGTGTTCATGTCAGAAAGTAAGGAACTTCACGAGAGGTGAATGTGCGCTATCCCAATGTGTCCATAGCATAGATAACATAGACAATCTTGAGAGAGTTCCGGGTAGGAAACATCGGAATGTCCTTGATTAGATTGCACCTACATATAAAAGGAACGGCATGTGGATGTGAAATGTGATTTTGGCGGAGGTGAAGTGTGATTTGTGTTAAACGAATTCCATCGATTATGCGAATCACTGTGGAATCCCACAGCATTCAGATATACTATGAGTACTCTCAGTTATTCGACTCCGACATGTCACCAACAAATACTAAAATATGTCTGTGAGTACGAAATTTTCCAATTCGGAAAGTGAATCTTGGAATTCATACTAGAAATGAATAATTGAAGCTGATGATCACAATATAACGAATAGATCAGAAGTGATTAGGTGTACTAACAGATACCCAACATGGAATCGAACTTAGTAGTACGTATTAGTGAAGGTGTTAGTCGATGCAATACCTCATTGCATAGATAGAAAGTGAATCGTAATGTTAATAGAAAATATTACATTTGGGGGCGTTAATAACAAGAACTGAACGATCTTGGAAGAGTTCAAGGTAGGAAACTTCGAAATGTTCTCGAGTAGATTGCACCTACATATCAAAGGAACAGCATGTGGAAGTGAAGTGTCATGTTGGCCAAAGTGAAGTGGGATGTGCGCGAAAGTGGAGTGTGATTCTTGTGAAATGAATTCCATCGATTATTCGAAGCACTGTTAAATTCCACAGCATTCGGATCTATTATGGTTACTCTCGGTTATTCCGAATCGACATGTCAGCAACAAAAAATACTAAAATATATTTGTGAATACCAAATTTTTCAATTTTGAAAGTGAATCGTCGAATATCTATTAGAAATAAATGATCAAGGCTTATAACCACTATATGATGAATAGATCAGAACTGATTAGGCGTACTAACGAATACCCAACATCGAACTCAGTAGTGAGTATCAGTGAAGGTGTTAGTCAATGCAATACCTCATTATAGGGATGGAAAGTAAATCGTCATGGTAATAGAAAATATAACATATGGAGGCATTAATCACAAGAACATAGAAGATCTTGGAAAAGTTCTGGGTAGGAAACTTTGGAATGTTCTTGAATAGATTGCACCAACATTACAAACGAACAACAGGTGAATGTGAAGTGTGATTTCGGCGAATGTGAAGTGTGATTAAAGCAAAAATGAAGCGTGATTCCTGTGGAACGAACTCCATCGTTCATTGGAAGCACCGTAGAATCCCACTGCATTCGGATCTATTATGGGTAATCTCAGTTATTCCACTTCGACATGTCAGCAACAAATACTCAAATATGTCTGTGAAAACGAAATTTTCCAATTGGGACACTGAATCGTGGAATTTATACTAGAAATATATGATTTAGACTGATGACCACAATATAGCGAATAGATCAGAACTGATTAGGTGTACCAACGGATACCCAATATCGAATCGAACTTAGTAGTACGTATTATTGAAGGTGTTTGTCGATGCAATACCTCATTTTATGGATGGAAAGTGGATCGAAATGATAATAGAAAATATTACACATAGAGACTAACAAGAACACTGAAGATCTTGGAAGAGTTGTGGGTAGGAAACTTCGAGATGTTCTTAAATAGATTGCACCTGAGTATCAAAGGAACAGCATGTGAAAGTGAAATGTGATTTTGGCGAAAGTGAAGTGAGATTTCGGCTTAAGTGAAGTGTGTTGTGGGCGAAAGTGAAGTGTGATTCTAGTGAAATGAATTCCATCGATTTATCGAAACACTATTGAATACCACAGCATCCGGAACTTTTATGGGTACTCTCGGTTATTCCACTTCGATCTGTCAGCAACAAATACTCAAATATGTCTGTGAAAACTGAATTTTCCAATTGGGACACTGAATCGTGGAATTTATACTAGAAATAAATGATTAAGACTGATGACCACAATATAGCGAATAGATCAGAACTGATTAGGTGTACCAACGGATACCCAATATCAAATCGAACTTAGTAGTACGTATTATTGAAGGTGTTTGTCGATGTAATACCTCATTTCATGGATGGAAAGTGGATAGAAATGATAATAGAAAATATTACACATGGAGGGGTTAATAACAAGAACACTGAAGATCTTGGAAGAGTTGTGGGTAGGAAACTTCGAGATGTTCTTAAATAGATTGCACCTGAGTATCAAAGGAACAGCATGTGAAAGTGAAATGTGATTTTGGCGAAAGTGAAGTGAGATTTCGGCTAAAGTGAAGTGTGTTGTGGGCGAAAGTGAAGTGTGATTCTAGTGAAATGAATTCCATCGATTCATCGAAACACTATTGAATACCACAGCATTCGGAACTTTTATGGGTACTCTCGGTTATTCCACTTCGATCTGTCAGCAACAAATACTAAAATATATTTGTGGGAACGAAATTTTTCAAGTTTGAGAGTGAATCGTGGAATTTCTATTAGAAAAATATGATCAAGGCTGATAACCACTATATGATGAAATAGATCAGAACTGATTAGGCGTATCAACGGAATACCCAACATCGAACTCAGTAGTAAGTATCAGTGAAGGTGTTAGTCAATGCAATACCTCATTATAGGGATGGAAAGTGGATCGTCATGGTAAAAGAAAATATTACATATGGAGGCATCAATAACAAGAACATAGAAGATCTTGGAAAAGTTCCGGGTAGGAAATTTCGGAATGTTCTTGAATAGATTGCACCAACATTACAAACGAACAACAGGTGAATGTGAAGTGTGATTTCGGCGAATGTGAAGTGTGATTAAAGCAAAAATGAAGCGTGATTCCTGTGAAACGATCTCCATCGTTCATTGGAAGCACCGTAGAATCCCACTGCATTCGGATCTATTATGGGTACTCTCAGTTTTTCCACTTCGACACGTCAGCAACAAATACTCAAATATGTCTGTGGAAACAAAATTTTCCAATTGGGACACTGAATCGTGGAATTTGAACTAGAAATAAATGATTAAGACTGATGACCACAATATAGCGAATAGATCAGAACTGATTAGGTGTACCAACGAATACCCAACATCGAATCGAAACTAGTAGTATGTATTATTGAAGGTGTTGGTCGATGCAATACCTTATTGTATGGATAGAAAGTGTATCGTAATGTTGAGAGGTTAATAACAAGAGCAAAGACGATCTTGAGAGAGTTCCGGGTAGGAAGGAAACTTCGAAATGTTCCTTAAGAGGAGAGATTCAACCAAATCGACATACAGGCCTTCACTAGATGTTGCTATATGGGCTTATGAATGATTCAATTGAAAAAATGATTAAATCATCGTAAAGAAGAAGGATGGGGCTAGGGCCTGGTTATCATACGGAGTCGAAACTCATTTATTTATAGAAGATACAGATTTTTGAAAAACGTAAACATTGAAATTTTTTTGTCTCAAATTGAAATATTTTCGATCTCAGTACAATTGTTGGAAATTCGGCAAGGTGTCACTGGAATATCAGCTCTTGAAATGTTTCCATTCGGACAGGAAGCAACAAAAACGATTATTCTGTCAACAAAATATCCATTCATCCCAGCTGATCTCGGTAAACTCCATTTCTTGAAAGAATGTAATGCAGGAAACTAGGATGTGGTAGTTCAGGCACTACCTGATAGATGGCAGTGTTCGAAATGACAGACTGCGGCAGAGAGGAATGGTGCATTGTATTGCAAGCAGATGGCGCTTAGGAGAGATGATGAATTCAAACCCGTTTACACCGTTGCCAATGTTATACATATTACTCGGACATATTATGAAATCTAGGCGACGTGATAATACAGAGGGTATTATTCAATTATCTGGGCATATTTCAAGGGGAGGTTCTCCGAGTGTTTGTAAGACGAACAAATCTAATATATAAAATTCTCCTGTCACGGTCACGGTCATAGTGGTCGAACTCCTCCGAAACGGCTCAACCGATTCGTATGAAATTTTTTGTGCGTATTCGGTAGGTATGAGAATCGGTCGTAATATATTTCTTAAATAGAAAATACAAAATGGCGGATCCAATATGGCGACCGAGTATAGTTATCCGATTTCATTCAAAATTGGTACTCAGGGGTTTTCGGGGTCGGAGATTATGAATATTTCGTCAAATTTTGGAAATTCAAGATGGCGGATCCAATATGGCGGACGAGCTTTGTAATTATGGTCAGATTCCATTCAAAATTGGTATCTGGGGGTTTTGGAGGTCGGAGATTATGATTTCTTCATCGAAATAAGGAAATT